ATCGTTCGATGGGCTGAATTGCACAAAACGCATGATCGCACCGGCTAGTCTGGTGCGCATTGCTATATATTTATTTTTTGACGTAGAATTCTTGCACAGAATGAATATGAGAGATTCATAGCACTGAGGATGCAAGCGAGCGGCCACTCATCGATGTCAACAAGAAAGACATAACGTACTATTGCTATTATTTTTATTAACAATATGAATTGATTTCTTAGACATCACATATTATAACTTACATACTTTTACTTTTCATACTCTTAGTTGTATTTTTGCTTTTTATACTCACACTTTTATTATTTTCTTTTTTAGTTTTCACTCTTACTTTCATTTTATTCAATTCCGTTTTTGTCAAATATAAACTGTTGCTCTAATGAGGTCCGGCTGTGGCACTAAATAAGAACGTTTACGACTTAATGGGCTGAAGCATTCCTCTTTAGAATTATCATTCTCATTTCAGTCTTCTCCCGAACTGTTTTGCTTTAAAACCGTCAAATTCTCTTATATGAATACGCTTGACCATGTCTACAACTGTAGCCATACTTTCTACTTTTCGTTTTTTGAACTGCCTTATTCTAGTAATAATAATGATAATAATGATAATGCAGTGATAATAAAAGCAGTTATTTGTAATAGTGAAGTAATGGTGAGGATAATAAAAATCATAATAACAATAATAATACAGTTAATAATATTGACAATAATAACAATTAAAAGACAGCTGTATAATAGAAATCTACAGGAGATGTTGAAAAATGAAAACCAAAGTGGGAAAAGGTGGCAAGTTTGTGTCCCCAGATATGAACTGTTAAATATCTCTGCCACATTCGCGTTTCAACCCCTCTCCTAAAGGAGCTGCTGATAAAAAATTCCAGTGGTGCGCTTTTTTAGCTATAAAGGGTAACGCTTATTCCTGTGTGTAATTCGGTACTGTTTTTCGGAACGAATGATTGTTTTCAGGCACGCGAGCAATACAAGTGCGATATTCAGCATCTCAAAGGCGCTTGCGCGTCTGATGACCATATTGAAGTAAGTTCGCTTCTTAGATTGTTTTTGAAAGCATCTGATAAAGTCATGATTTCGTTGACTGTGTAATTTTTTGGATCCTTTGACCTGCTGTCGTCTCGTAGTAATGATTGGCGGATCCAGGGGGTGGAAGGAGGGGGTAGAGGAAGGGGGAGGGGGAGGGGAGGCAAGGAATTCAGATAGTAGTTGTTTAACTGTACAAAAGCATGAAAGCGTCTATGTTTCCGTTCAATATATGTTTTTTTAACTTTGTTACTTCTGGCGTCCTGCCAAAACGTGAGATGTTAAACTTAGAATTTTAACTGTAATTTCCAGTGATGAAGGAATTTTGTTAAGCGAAAGCGACGAGGATAAGTTGTTCGATTTTGTGTGCAGTTTCTGGGACTTCACAGCAGAAGCCGTGTGCCATGAATGCGTGAGCATTTTCAGCTCGTTGTTGAAGCTGCATCTGTTGAAGTGCAGCAGCAGCAATGGCACTTTGCTTTTGTCTTCATGGGCCAAGAATGTTGGAAAATTCTTAATGGAAGGGCCATCGTTGTCGCGCGGTTGCTATA